GGAAAACACCACCAGGCGTTCCTTTATCGAGGGAGAAGGGAATTGAATTTTGGAATTGCATTAGGCCGACATGTGACCGGCATTATTCGCACTCACTCGATGAAGGAGTAGCCCACCAAACGGCCGGCATGCGAGAAGAACGCGATGATAATCAAATTAACGTGCCCAAAGATCCGTGTGATTTTCTCTGCGCCATACAGGAAGGGAATACTGCTCACGGTGCCCACGGTAATGGTGATGCCTGGTTACAAATCAAAGAAACATTATACCTCTTCACATATTCTGAATAATATCTTAACTCACCCAGCAGATAGTTTGGAGCTCCCAGTTCCTTGAGGTACAGGAACAGGAAGCTCTCGATGAAGCCCCAGAAATTGCCGAGCACAAATAGGAAACAAATGAAGGCAATGACATGAGGCATTTTGAGTAGGTTCCACAGATCTCGGAACACATTATCGGCCGGCAGTTTCTCGCCCAGGGGCATCATTAGTACCGACATTGTGGATATGACCAAGAGTACGTCGTACGTATAGAAGGCAGCCGAGTAATCCGTATAGCCCAAGCCCCTCGAGGAGTAATCAATCATAATGCCCGTTATCGGCGAGAATATGGCCATGCCGATGCTGGAGAACAATCGCTCGCGTCCGAAATCGCCGCCATACTTCTCAATCATTGTCAATGCAATCGGATCCATGATGGTTACTCCGGCCGACAGCATCGTGGTGGCCAAAAATCTGGGGGAGAAATGGAAATATTTCAGTGCTAGCACAGATGTTTGAAGCTGAAATATAACAGAAAAATAATAAAGCGCAAAGACTTTATATTTGTTTGAGAAAAGAAATTTAAATTGTATACAAAAATGTTACAAACTTTGTTCATAAGATAAAAATTCTTTTAAAAGTTGTCTCACTTTTTTTTTTATTTATTAAAAATCCAATTTAAGTATTTTGTATATGGGCAATTCTCTGGGGATGTCAACCAAGCCAAAAAGCGTAAAACTTGAAAAAAACATATTTCTACATGATTTTGCACTGATATTTGATTCTAGTTAGATGGATCCTCAACTAAGCTAAGTAATATGAGTATCCTTGGATAATTTTACGGGGTAATACCGGTTATATGGACAAAAAAGTCATTTTTTGGTATTTTTTTAGTATTTTTTAAAGTGGCTCTTAAACGGTTTTTTTGACGTTAAGGTTGCAGAAAAACCACCTAGGAAAATGACGGAAAAAACTGTCGCGTGCGACATGTAGCGTGTGACAGTCACTTCGATACTAATAAAAAATTAACCACTCAATATTTTGAATTCAAACAAAATACATTTTAAAGAAGAAAGACCAAGGAACACTATGAAATTAACTGCATTAAAATATTCCTTCACGTTTCGTTACAATCGAAAGTTAGGCAGGAAGTCAAAAAAGTAACTTCTATTCGTGTCGCGTGCAAAAGTCTTGGTTTTTTTTATATACCTTAAAAATGAAAAACGTCCCAATGTCACCCCTAGCACATATTTTAGTGCTAATCAAGACCTTTAATTTGAGCCTAGTGCCAAAGGAAAAGAAGAACTGGAAGATAGTATTTTTCACCTGCAAAGCGTACGAACGTCGCGTGCAACAGCAGAGAATTGCCCATATACAATTTTAAAATCTCATTAAAGTATAAAAATATCCTCTAGAAAATATAGACTCTAACTCACCGTAGCAAAAAGTAAACCCAGAAAATGATCTCATCGGTCTCTTTATAATCCGGTGGACAGATTTCCGGTGCATTCATGGTGAAGGTACACCGTTGCATCATGCATTTTACAGCTGCCGAACCCATATTTGTCATATTTGTGCGACGAACCAAGCCGCCACATCTCAAATCCAGATCGTCCATATCGGTGAGGTTTATCTTGCCCCTGACCAAAAAGTCATGACCAAATCGCTGCCGAATATCGGTAACCGTCTCATTGGCATCCTGTTCGATCTCCATGCCCAGTTGCTCGGTTGGATCGGCGAGATCGGGATGCATTTGCAGCATAAAGTAGGTGGCGTCGTCATTATCGGAGTGCACCCAACTGGTCCAAGGCAACTTCTGTTGACTACTATCCGTTACTGTGGGAAAATCAAATAAATATAATTATGGAATACAATAAAAATATTTTTTTAGAGATTATGAAGTTAAAAGTCAGAATTAGAGTTCCCAACTTTTATAATGCTAACTTAATTCTCCAACGCATTTTCGCAACAGAGCTGTAGTTGTAAGTCCTTTCCCCTTCCCATTTTCCCCGCTATGTTGGAGTGAGTTTTTCACATAATCGGACAGGCAGTAAAATTGCTTTTGCACTTTTCCTGCACTTTTCTGCACCCCCGAGAAGCCCGACTTCTGGCTTGTGTCCTGTTGTGTCCCTGATGTCCTGTGCTGGCCATGCATGACCAATTTCCAATTGTGCCAAGTGTCAAGCGTACAGCCGAGTGTAATGCCATCATGTTTAGTTAGTTATGCACTTTTGTCTGCTGCTGTAGAAGCCCCCCTTTTCGTGAATTTCCACATTGTGATTTCTGGCCAGGACATTACCAAAGTTTCAGACTCTTCTCAGTTTTGTTTAGGTGAAATGGGGGAGGCAGTGTGAGAGTTTTGCCAACATCTGATGTACTTTTGACTTATGAGTAGAACATGATTTGGGTTTCGCACTTCGGGGAATAGGGGAATCCGTGCACTTTGTGAGCTAATGTGGAATAATAGTACGTAATAGAAACATTTACAGATTGATTGTAGAAATATACTGCGTGTATTATATTTATAAATAATTCCGTATATTGACAGAAATATTTAACCAAATCTTAAAAAGAATGTAGCTTATCCCAAAATCTAATAAAAGTCTCTATGTTGAAAGCGATCCCACAATTTTCTCCTTGCCAAAACAAAACTGTTTACCTAAGATATTAGCCCAACCGCAAGCACTCTCTTTTCCATCTCCATTGGAAATATTTTCATTTTACCCTCCTGTCTATTTTCCCATACCTAGTGACAGGCAGCCGCCCACTTTTAATAATGTGGAATAAAAACGCCTTTCTGTGAAGTTTTTTTCCGGAGAATTGGAAAAAGTTTCCCCCGTAAACTTTGGCTCCACACAAAACGACAGGCTTTAATGACAACCACCAGCCACCGCACTCGCACGCACTCAGACAGGTTGAATTATACTTATTTTTTGTAGTTTCATAGAGAGTCGACTCGGTCTTTGGCTTTTATGGACCAAGTTATTCTCGGGCTCTGCTCCTGCTACTCCCGGTTAGCAGCTCACAAAAGACGGAAAAACAAACTAATAAAAGTAAAACACACACGGACAGGGACAGGAACACGGACACGGACAAGGATACGGACACGGATACGGACACGGACATCGACACGGACACGGACGGAGTATATGGACATCAATAAATGGCTGGGGAGAGGATAGGAGAGCATTGCAAGTCGACAACAAGTAAACTGAGTGGAAGAACAAAGGAGCTACTACATAGAAGCAACCTGCAATGGTACACTTTTATAAAAATGTATAATTATTTTAAAAATATTGTTACGAAAAGTGATAATATTGTGATAAAATTATTTGTCATATTTTTTTTCTTTTCGTTATTTTAATATCATTATAGAAATAAAATTATAAAATTAACTAATTAATTAAAATTTATGAAACTATCAAAAAAATTTATTAAAAAATTGATCAAAAAATTTAAAAAAAATATTTAGGGTGTTCAATTGCGTTGCAAACTTTGTAAAGTGTAAAAGTGTATATCAATTCCAACAACAATTTCTATACAAAATAGTTTTAAAGGCCTACTTTTGAAAACTATTTTGTGTGTGCAACGCAATTGAACACCCTAATTGCTTTAAATTGTTGCAGTGCCTTTGATTAAATATTAGAAAAAACAGTATAAATTTTTTCGAGTGCACATCCAACTGGCCATGATAATAACGCTGTGGTCAGTCGGTGGTTGAGCAAGGGGAGTCCACTGTGGACGGGTTCATCACGTCACTTACAATTCAATCCCTGCATGGACATGGCTGACAGTTCGGCTGACGATGACGAGGACTGGCCGGGCTCCAGGCCCACCTCCTTCAGCTGGGACATTGGCGGGAACATGGTCGATGACATATTAAGTACTTCTTGGTATCTGCTCCTCGTTTGCGTTGCGAATAATGCTGGCAATGATGACGCCGGCGATGTGGTGGTCGATGTGGTTGGTGCTGGCGATGTGCTCGATTCCGAGGAGGGTTCCATTGTGGTCGTCCTTGTTGTGGTTGCCGTTAGCTGGGATCTCTGGGTGGTCGACGTGGTGATGGCCGGTCGGACATCATATGCCGGGGTATTCGTGTAAAGCTGAGGATTAACTTGCTCCTGCATCAAACAATAGTCGACGCACTGATGCACGGCCAATTCCAGCTCCGGTTCCTCCGGACATTCTCGACTCGGACACGGAGACCACCAGACCTGCGGACGAAAAATACGAGGGGGGAAAAAGACAATGGAATGTATTGGAAATTAGAAATGGGTAAAAGGATTTGTGCAAGTAGCGGCAAGGCTAAAAGATGTTTAGCAAAAGCTTCGAGAATCCCTGAACATTTGCTCGGACTCTTTACATCGATTGTTTGAGCTGCTAGCAAATGAGATGGGAAATAGCTTTAAAGACTTCTGGGTTTTTGTTTAATAAATAACTAAAAATCATATATCATTACGTTTTTTTTGTTATAGTCAATATCTCAATGATATATACATAATATCTACATAATATCTACACAATATCTACACAACATCTACATAATTTCTCATAAATTTATAGTAGTTATCTAGTCTCAGTATATTTAATATCTGATGGACCTTTATATTAACTTTTTTAGTTCCAAAATTCCACTTCATCAGACTTCCTTTAAAATAAAATCGTTAAAGCCCTAGTAGGCCACAAATATTCCATCACACCTTTCAGCTCTCTGTTCAGTTCAGTTCCCAGTTGCCAAGCTATAGGTAGGTCATACAATCACTCAAGGGAAAACCGAGGAAAATCTAGAATGTCTTCTCTGCCGACCAAGTCCTGGAGCATTCAATTGCGCGAACTGGCCAGCTCGCCCTTTGCCATTATTGCGCTGACCTGTGTCCTGGGATATGTGGCCTATATGAAGACCAGGCGCCAGCATGGAACCTACGATGATGAGGACTACGAAAACGAGGGACACCGCAAGCTGCCGGCTCCATTGACCGGACTACGTCTCAACCGCAAGCAGTTGGCCAAATATAACTCGGAACGTCCGGATAAAACCTATTTAGTGGCCCTACTCGACGTGATCTATGATGTCTCGAGTGCAGCTCATGATTTCGGACCCGGGGGTAAATATGCCAAGCTTTCGGGAACCGAAGTGACTGGATTCATCAAGAAACAATCGTTTTTCGAGATGCGTGACTATGAAACGTATTTGAAGGAATGGCAAATGATGCTGGAGGATATCTTCTATCCTGCTGGCAAGCTAATAGAAGGTGAAAAGAATTTGTTCGTTGAGAATAATAACAAAATGGATTCAATAGAAAAAGAGGAAAAGGTAGAGGAAAAAGTAGAGGAAAAAGTAGAGGAAAATGTACAGGAAAAAGTACAAGAAAAAGTAGAGGAAAAAGAGAAGGTGGACAAGGAACCGCTACAGAAGATTCCCGAACTTTCTGAACTGGATTTGGCTTCACCAGATGAGGGAATCAATTCCGATTGCGATTCTCTGCGCACTGCCTATGATGTTCTGCCTGAACAAGATGAGCGCGTTGATGAGGATGATGATGATGATGAAGAAGAGGAGTTCTCTGACGCCACCCAGGAGGCTAATGTGGTCCTAACCGATGAAGCTTCCAGCCAGACCATATGGAATGAAACAGATGTAACGATGGTGGCCATTTCATAAAGCCCCTCACCTTCTCGCATCATCCATTTGAAATCCAGACAAAAGTGGCACTTAACCCATCATAAGCCCCCAAATATGAACTTAAGCCCTTAGCCATTATAACACAAACATAAATAAAAATCTTTCGGATCTTATGTGTATCTGCATTTGCAGCACTTACACCGAGAAAAACATCAAACACTTTTTTACATAACTCAAAATTGTATATGGCTTAAGATGAGGATTTGTAATATATTCCTATCAAATATATGGGTTAATGTGTCAATAATTTATTATTTTATTATTAGCTATCATGTCTTTTCTTTCACATCCGCTTTCTGACAGTGTCATGCCTGCGGCCATGTGTTCGTGTTTCTGCATATATCCGTTACCAATTTTAATGCGAATTCAATAAGGCTCTTTCAAGGGTTGCAAGGGGCTGATTGGGCGGCAGCATCGAGCGCTCTCGCCTGCAATAATAAAATGGTAATTTCCGTTCACTGCCGTCATCGGCGGTCGATGCCAAATAAATTTATGCCAAACGGCAAACCGAACTCGGGCTCTATAATGGCATAAAATAGTAAACCGCAAGCAACAGGACCTGGCCAGTGGAATACAGGGATACACGGGATGTGCTACATGAGACTCCTGCTCCTGGTCCTGCTCCAAGGTGGGAGATGTCCGGCGAACGTGCAGAATGAACACAAATGTAGCCATAAGATGCGTTTGCATGCCCTTATTGCCCAGCAAATTGCTCTTTAAAGGGGTATTAATAGCTTGGACTTGGGGTTTGAACAGGTAAATAAATGATTTTATTTTTAATAATAAATTGCTTAACAATTAACTATATTTTTGAAAATCTTTCCCTAAACTTAAGTAGAAAAGTTAAAATAATTAATAACAAATAACTGGAAGTTAGGACTTGAACAAGTAAAATAAGCGGAATTATATGAGTAATCCCTTTTACCTTTAGTCTTGAAAATTATTTTTTATATATGGGCACTTCCAAAATGTCGCTCGGGACATTTGCACACCTTTAAAGTTGAAAAAAAATTGTAAAACAATGGATTTTAATTTTAATGAATTTGCTTTTCTTTTCACTCTTCCTAAGCTCTATTTTTGGTAAAAATCTTAATTTTGCACCACTTTTAGTTTTTAAGATATCGGTAAAAAACTGCCGTATTCGCTCGGGACAAAAATAGAAGTGGATTTCGGGGAAGTTCATACAACACCAGAAATTAGCAAATTCTGATGGAATATTTGAATGCGATTTTTTTTAGAATGTTGTTCAAACATGTCGTTGTGAAATGCTTTTGGTTTTACTCAAAAATTCTTTGCCGTTTTTTTTTACGCAGTTTCAACCACATTCGCTCGGGACATGTCGCTCGGGACATTTTTTCCGACTGTTTTGTAAAGCGGATTTCTTTACCTCTATCTCTCAATTGCTGGATGTTTTGCTTTTAACTTAATAGTTTAGCATGTGAATGAAGCATTCAGTACAGAAAAATGTCACATATTAGCATTCCTATAGGATAAATTTACAACAGAAGACAGGTCCAAAAAATAACAAAAAAATAGCCAAAAACTGATTTTTGCGTATATTGGTGGGGTTTGTCATAAAAATAATCAAACTATACTCCAAATTTGTAGTTAAGCTCAGTATCCAACTAATTAGAAACTAATATCGGGGCAAAATCATGTGGAAATATGTTTTATTCAAGTTTCAAGGTTTTTGGCTTGGTGGACTTTTTTTTGGAAGTGCCCATATCTAAATAAAGTAATGTTTTCCGAGTGAATAGTTTTATCAAAAAACAAAAACATATGGTTATATTATTTATTTTCTTATTTCCCGTCTTTAAAAGATTTGTAAATTGTTGTATAATTTTTATTTTCTAATGAGAACTATTATCCTTTTCCAAGGGTATTTTGCATTCGCCTAGTTTTCAACAGTACTACCCCTGTTTGCTGCAGCTATTTTAATGGTGTTATTGTATTTTATGGGCACATCATAAATACAAATTCAATATACGCCCGTGCCAAGTGGGATTGGCCGCCATTGGATGCGTGTGTGTGCGTATCCTGCAGATACATTCGTGAAATGAGGCGAGTGCTGGGGCGTCTTTTGGCCAAGGGCCAAGGACCAAGGACCCAGGACGAAGGACCCAGGATCTCCCCCGAAAATAACAGTTCCATTGCGTTTCATTACGACTAACGGCAGTGGCTGAAGTGCGATTGTGAGTGTGAGCAGAGGAAAGATTTTAATGTGTGTGTGCAAGTGTGTGCATTCGTGTTGGTGTTTTAGTGCGGCTTAAGTGCTGGCAAAACGACACTAAGATAAATGTACGTGATACACAGGCACGGACATGAAACACTCACACTAGCACTCGGAAAAACCCACACAAAGTACCCCTAAAAATAATGGTAAACAAAAAATATTGCTATTATTTAAACAAATAAAATATAGCAGGGGAACCACAGCTTACAATTTTTTATATGAATTTATTTAATATATTTTATTTACATATAAAAATTCCATAAATATGAAATATATTTTTCTGACTTTGCAGAGTAATTGTTCACATGTTTCTATTATTAAAATTTACTAAAACCTTTTCTGTCTCAACTTCGTTATTAAAATTAAATTCCATACCTTAGATATTTTGTATTAAATTACTTTCAAGCTTGTGCAGTTGTTTAGCAATATAAGAAGATTTTTTTGTTAGTGCTTGTAAACCTGATGTGCACTCGGCTTAAGTGGATTTTTTGGCACCGTCTAGAAGTTCTAGAAGAGCCCGAAAATGCTTCCCCGCTCCCGGAAAATCTTGTAGTTGCTTCTGGTGAGCTGTTTCTAATGCGTTCCATTCGCTTGCCGGCTGTCAGGCTGCGTTGCTGCTTCTGTCATTTTCTATTTTCTATTTTCCATTTTCCATTTGAATTTGTTTAGCCTCGGCCCGCTCTCAATCGTAAGGGCCCTTTGGCTTCGTTTTACCATAATATCCCAGTCATGCGGATGTTTCCTCCCTCTACCTCACCACCTGCAAGTCCATAATTCGATTTATGTAAAACTCTTGTAGTCCTGTAGTCCTGCGACTGCTGCAATTTGCTGCCCGGACTCGAGAGCTGCTTGTGTCCAAATGCAATTGCCAAAAGGTGTGAGACTGTCAGCCGGCTGCCCCCCTGAAGTCCATAAAGAATATGCAATCTCGAGAGGATTGAGCGGAGCTGAACTCTGGTCGAACACCTCGGGGAAAAGCTGCTGTGCTGCCTCTGAATGTTCGAATACCCCAAAATCTCTTCCTGGCAGCCATAAAGCATGTACTCAAATTTGTTATGCCACATCTGACCGGCTTAAAGGACCCACAGGACCCGAAGGACACGCAATAACATCCAACCCCCAAAGCCGGAGTCAGAGTCGTTTGCATTGATACGATCATAAGCATAAAGCGCACACACACACATATATATATCGATATCAATAAAAAGGAAACGCTGAGGGAAATCAAAGAAATTCTGGTACAACATATACATACATACTATATCCTTGAACCCCATCGCCGCCGCCCTCTTTCGGATGGCATGACATTTATTTGCTTTATTTCGATGATTTTACATGACGCAAATTTATGCACAAATGCAGATAGAACCAGAAGCAGAACCGAACCAATGGCAGCAAAAAGACCAAAAAATGTGGAATACAAAAATATGAAAAAATAGGAAGGACTATTTCAGCTGCTGCACTCACACAGGGTGACAGAAAAACATGTGCACTCGAAAAATAAATTTATTTAGATTCATCATATTTTAAATACATTTCTTTGCTATGTTTAACAAATTTAAATAAATTTATTTAGATTCATCATATTTTAAATACATTTCTTTGCTATGTTTAAAGACAAGTTTTCATTATTAGAATATTTGGAATTTATTTTTATAAAAATTAATTATTTTATTTAACTTGCGTTTAGTTAACAAATATATTTTAGCATTTCTATACAACCTTAAAAACTAAGTATTTAGTTCTTACCAAGAATACAAATATATATGTTTTAAAAACTTGCGAATTATTAGAGGCATAAGTTTCAATGCAGCTTTCAAAAAGAGGTCACCTTGATCGCATTTGACCAACAAACTGACCAAAAATATAACACACAAAGGGAAAAGTAAAATTGATTTTCAGAAAATTCCTAAATATTTCGTACATAACAGTACTTGAGAGTTAATAATTGTTCCCCTTTTGTGCTTCCATGTGTCCTTTTGTCGAGTGTCGAGAGTCACTTGAATAAAGGAATAACTGCCAAGTCTGGCACTCCGTGCGTATACGTGTTATTTGCCCAGCTCTATCTGTGTGTGCGCTCCGTCGCATTGCGTATCCGCTCCGTGGTGCGTTTGTGTGTGCGCCAGCATGTGGCATGCTGCTGGGAGCTCAGAAATCGGCAGGAAGTTGCCAAACGGAACGAACGTGGCATCTCCCTGTTTTTATTCGCAGAATCGCGCAACGCGGCAACGTGCCACGCATTAGATACACACATACCACGATTGTATGGGAGTTTTTTGTGCTAGTGTGCGGGTGTGTTGCATGTGGCAACATTATGTTGCTGGCTGCCTCGAATAAATGCCGGCTTTTATGTAGTTCTTCGCTTTGCCACATCCTTTGCTCCTTGGTTCGCTCCAAAATAGAGACATGCCGTGACTGAAGTGAGACCATTGTGAAAAGTGGAAAGAGGGCTTAAAAGCAGTTCCGAATGGCTAAGAGGATGCCGAAGATTTTTGGCAACTCGCACGCAACAATTGCCATTGAAAATTATCTAAGGGGCTGCAATAAATTTGCTGCTGGAAAAGTAGCACACTTTAAGATTTAAATTGGAATTTAATACAAAGGAATATAAATTAAATATTTGATACTGGCTAACTTATTTGTGGTTGAAAAATATTAACTTATTTTCCGGAATTTCTTTAGACAGCGTTTTCAAATTTTCATGTCCAAAATCTTAATTTAAGGTAATTTGAACCTATTAAAATCTACGATATTAGTTAGATAGTAACTACACTACAGTCAAAGTCATCGAGAAAATGGGAAATGCATGAAATCGGGGTACGTTAAAGTGGGTGAGGAAAGCGCTGGGTAACCATGAAATAAGCGCATTAAAACTGTACAAGAGCAACAGCTGTTTCCCCATGAGCAGCAGAATAATGCATCCGGGAACTTTTGCCCACAAGGGAAAACTCAGAGAATCGAGGTTGGAAACCGCAGCCACGTCATTTTTAGCTCTTAACTAAACAAGCGTCTAAAGATA